GGTAATTTGACTCATACCATCGTTACTCCCATTACTGCTTTTTTAGCCATCTTCTTGGTTATTTCTCTCAATAACATCCTCCAACAATGACTGTTCCATAAGTTAAATACATGATATGTAAAACATTTGCACTTCCAGTTTTAATTTTACTTCAGTAGTTCCTATAGGAGCCTCAGATTTATCCCATGTAGATTATTCATTAATGCACACACTTCTGCTCATCTTCCTGTGAACTAACCTGAAGTACAGAAGGAAGAAGACTTGTGCATCAAATCACTTTTGCTTCCACCCTTGCTAACAGTTATTTCTGCCACATCTTTTTCAAAGAGGTGACCAAATCTGTCACACTAGTAGGAGGATGCCTCTTTTTTTTCTTCAACAGTACAATATTTTAATGTCATTCTCTTTCACTTAACACACCTTTACAATTAAACAAATGTTCCACCTGTTAAGATTTAATTTTAAAATGTTAATCGGTTTCCATCTTCTCAATTTTTAGAATAGTTTTTCCTTTCCAAATTTGGGGTGATTTTCTTTCTTTCTATCCTACACACACATATATACCTTTATAGATAGATCAATCTGTATCTATATATATGTTCCTGTATACGCAAACAGAGCTAAACTGGCTCTGCTTATTTCAGTCAGCTTTTCAAACAACTCTACCTTCATGCTTCCTGCCTATGAGCTGTATTGGCACAGGGCAATTTAGGAAATAATTAATTCATTAACTAATCTCAAGGATACCTGAGCAAAATACCAAAACCAACAGAAACAAAAACTTTGGGGGCTTCATCTGTTAGAAGGAACATGTAGAGAATTCAGATGGTATGCAAGTAACTTGGAAAATGTTTATGTGGAAAATTGTCCATGCATTTTATTACTTGTTCACAAAAAAATCTCAGTGCACAACTTAGCTAAATTGCCGGCGAAGTTAAATTAAGCATGCACACTTAGAATTAAAAACACCCCTTCTGCCTGCCACACAGAGGCCGCCAGTTCATAAGGAACAGGAACACAGAAATACCTGCTCTTCGGTATGTCAGCAGATAGCAGAACTGCATCCTTTTTATTTTGTGGCTAAAATATTGGTAGAAAAGCTGGATTTAAACAAGGACATTAAAAAAATTGCAACAGGATGCACTTGTGCTACGGTATTTTTATATGAATCACACCAGAGCATCAATTCCCTTGTCAGAATAATGCTATAGCCACCACTGATAATGTGGCAGTGTCCCATTTGTAAGTTGCAGTGTTTTGGAAACATATGCTACAACGGAATATTCGGAATATTTCAGTGTCAAAATTTGGCCCATGTAAATTTGTTTTGATTTCTTGGTATTTTCTGTTCTCTCAGACAGTACTTTGTATATATACACAAATATATATCTCTCTCTCTTTTCTTTCAGGTAGAAATTATCAAAATCATGTATTTTCATACTTAATTAACTAGTCAGATTGCTACATCCATAGCCCAAATTAGGCCCAGCTGTGCCATGATGCATATAGAGGGAAACCTCTGTGCCTTCAAAGGGCAAAAAGGTCCAGAACGTCAGAGGTTTGGATGCTGTGGAGAGTGCAAGACCAGGTTTGTGCTACCGTACTAACCATGCTTCTCAGAAGAAATTTGTGACACTCCTTGGAAGCAACTGCCAGTGTTTATGAGATAGAGGTGGGGTCATATGATGGCTTTATTCAAGGTAGGGCTGTGCGGCAAGAGTTCATGTGAATTTATACACTCTCACATGAATAAACAGTATTTAGAGTGACCAGGGGCACAAAGTGGGAAAAAGATGGGTATTTCTCTGTTTTCCTGTCTTTGAGCAGCTCACTGCCAGCCAGACTTGCGTAGGTATTTGGGTGCTGGAAGATGCAGTAAGTGTCTAATGGAGCTTCCAGGCCTTTTTGCAACAATAATGACGTATGGTCATAAGAGAGGCTACAGAAGCTAACCAAGCATTTTAAAAGATCTAGCAAAGGAGCTCTCTGAACCATTAATGATGATTTTCAACAAATCTTGGTGCCCTAGGGAGGTTCCAGAAGGCTAGAAGAAAGCTTATATAGAGCCAACATTTAAAAAGGTTAAACGGGATGACTTGAGTAATTATAGGCCTGTCAACCTGACATTGATCCTAGGCAAAATACTGGAACAGCTGATATGAGACTTGATTAATAAGGAATTAAAGGAAGGTAATATAATTAATGCCTTTCAACATGGGTTTATGGAAAATAGATCTTGTCAAACTAGCTTGATATCATTTTTATGAGATTACAAGCTTGGTTGAGAAAGGTAATAGCACTGATGTAATGTACTTAGATTTCTGTAAGGCATTTGACTTGGTATCACCTGACATTTTGATTAAGAAAAGAGAATGCAACAAAATTATTGCAGCAAACATCAAGTGGATTAAAAAAAATAGCTAATTGGTACATCTCAATATGTAATTGTAAATGGGGAAACTTCACTGATCAGGTTTGTCTCTATTGGAGTCCTGCAGAGAACGGTTCTGATTCCAAAGCTGTTTAATATTTCTAACTATGTCCTGAAAGACGAGAAAAGCAATCAGTATAGATTATACTTACAGACCACACAAACGCTGGCGGAGTAGATAATAATAAAATAAATATGTTGCTGATAAAGCACAAGTTGGATGTTTTGGCCAGTCTTTCATGTTTTCTTTCTAGAAACAGCAAAAATGGATCTTCCAGGACCTTACATGTAGTAGGTGTGACTTTTAAAATTTATTTTCAGGTGGATAATGAGTAAAAGAAGCTTCCAGTGCACTGTGGTGCCTAAAAGTGGTCATCATTCAATGTGTAGCAGGAAATGTTAGGTCTGAGCAAGGTGAGTTTATATTACTACTAATCCTGGCACCAATTACACCTCTTTGGGAGTACAGGGTCTCATTCTGAATCCCAGCTCAAAAGGGCCATTGGTAAGCTGAGGAGCACTTGGAGAAGACCCCCCCCAAGAGCATGTGATGAACTAGAGGAGGTATTTTATGAGGAGACTTAATGAATTCAATGTTTCCTCCAGAAAACAGAGGACTAACGAGGTAAGCTAATCACAGTCCAAAATTATGTGATTTGTTCTGCCCAACTTTCCCTGTCTAAAAGGTAGGAGTATGGTCTAGGCTCCATGCTTTGTCACCCTTACGCAGTCAGTGCAGAAGTTAGGTGTCTCCAGTGTGCAACTAATCCCACACGGAGATAGATGCGATGAATTGCCTTCTGGTAGTGCCTGTTTCTTTCAGTTGATTACAGAAGGATCCCGGAACACTGGGTGAGACAAGATGCTTCATTTTTGCATGGTTAAAGTTAAATGAGATAATCCCACACTAATTGCCTCCATGGGGAATGTAATTTTTAAAATGAAGGCTCTTCAGTCTGCTAAATAACAGGCTCTGAAGTTTGGAAGTTTTATAGGGACAAATTCAGATTAAAAATCAGGTGCACATTTTTCTCAGGGAGCGTAATTAACCTTTGGAGCAAATTACCAAGGGTTGTGGCACTTTCTACAGCAGTGGAAATTTTAAAATCAAGATGGAATGTTTTTCTAAAAGATTTGCTCTACTTAAAATGCACTGATTTGGGGAAATTAAGTAGCCTGCGTTGTACAAGAGGTCAGAGAAGATCATTGCTTTTGTCCTTTCTGGACTAGCGATACGTGCCTCTATGCCTTGCGATAGTAGAACACCTTTAAACATTTTTTCCTTAAGTCTTTCACTATTCCTAAATTTCCTTCCTGCTAATAATAATTGGAATTCCCTGCCTCACAGGACAAACACATTAAGGACTTTGAGGTGGGTAAATATCCTGGAAATGAAGGCCATGTAAAAATTTAGAGTATGCTGAAGGAACATAGACAATTAGAGTAGATGGAGCTCGGGTAATAATTAGCACTTGGGCAGTCAATGTGTGTTGGTCTTGTTGGAGGTGGGTGTTGACTGGCTACCAAATCTATTGCCGGCTTCCATATAATTAGGGCACAAGTGTCTTGAAAAAGACACCCAGTGTTTTCAAAAATATCCCACAAAATGTCCCACATTTTCCTTTGTGCAATAGACACTGGAGCAAGGCCAGATCCACCCTGCTCTTGGCCTCCACACCCTGGTGGTTCATGGTTCAGGCTAGCAAGGTCACTCTGTTGATGTGGGGTTAAGTGAACAGGAAAGCCATTAAAATTTATGTGATTTTGGCAATGCGCTGTATTTTCCCTGTCTCGATTCTATGACTGTCTGGATCAAAAAAAAAAAAACCCAAAACAAACAAAAAAAAAAAAACAAAAAAAAAAAAAAAAACCAAAAAAAAACAAAAAAAAAAAAAAAAACCAAAAAAAAACAAAAAAAAAAAAAAAAACCAAAAAAAAACAAAAAAAAAAAAAAAAACCAAAAAAAAACAAAAAAAAAAAAAAAAACCAAAAAAAAACAAAAAAAAAAAAAAAAACCAAAAAAAAACAAAAAAAAAAAAAAAAACCAAAAAAAAAAAAAAAAAAAAACCAAGAAGAAAGAAAAGACCCCAAAGAGGAAAGGACTAGAGCCATTCAGAGAGTTTTTTTCAGTCTGACTTTAATCTAGAAAATCAAGTCAAAGTCTAAATGCCCATTGCCACAGGATGCAATGATGAACAAAGCATTCAGAGAGGTTGAACAATGTCTAGAGTTGGAGGCAAAGTTTCCATTTACATTGTTTTTGGGTGACCAATTGGTTTTTATGCTTCATGAAAATTATCTACGATGGAATTTTTCAAGCATTCTCTTTAAATACATGCAAATACACAAGTGAAAAGTTTTTAGTCCTTTTTTGGTCCCATTTAGTCCTGAAAACCATCAGGGGCATGTATTTTAAAAGCCGCTGCATTGGCTGGTAGAAATAGTAATTCAGATGCCTTAATTTCTTATTTTTTATATGAGGCAGGTTTCTGCCTATCTTTCCCAAGATGCACTATTATCTTAGACCAGAGCATCCTCCCCATTTAATGTAAATAGAACATACACTTACAAATCATAGTTGTTCTGCAGGTCTCCAGTGAGACTGGAGATCCGTGGAGCCAAATAGCTAGCAAAATATTCCAGGCTAGGAAACACATGAGCTGCAAGCTGAGGAGAAAAAGTGTTTTCTGGAAAGCAACAGGGACATAGATAAGAAAGAGCACGTGAAAAATAAATAGACAAGATAAAGTGTGAACACTCTGAACAAGTGATATCATGTTGCGTGATTCCTGAAGGAAGTGATTTGAGAGAACAAATCTATTTTAGCTAGTGCATGCCTTAAATCCATGGGTCCTCAGTGATTTCCCTTCAAGTGAGGGCAGGATTGTGTTGCTAAAGATTTTGATGTACATCCATCAAGAAAATTTTGAGATGTAGGGCTCAGGATCATGGATCAGGTATTTCACTACTCATGATTGCTTTCAGGTTCCAATCCCCACCTGCAGCACAGGAACCTAACGGGCCACGCAGCCATTGGCATGAAGCTCCTGCTGCTCAGCTGTAAGTAGAAACCAACACAAATCTGACAAACTGTGGGCCTTTACCACTCTGCTAAGCAGAGATCCTGGCACTGGGGTAGGTGGCCCAACACCCTCCGCCTCCCTTTTTCACACTTTTTGGCAGTGCTTTTAAAAACCTCTCCCAACACGCTGGGAAGGAGGGGAGAGCATAAAGGTCCTAGGGCTGTATGGTCAAATCTCCTCCAGGTGCCTTTGAGAACGACATCTCAAAGTGTTTACATTTGAGCTGGGGACACTTAGACCCTTGGCTGAAAATGCTAAATACTGAGAGGGAGAAGAAATTTGCAGTCAACCCAGAGAGACAGACCAGTGTGGCTGGACATCCTCTGAAAGCAGGATCAGCCATATACATTTGAGCTGGGGACACTTAGACCCTTGGCTGAAAATGCTAAATACTGAGAGGGAGAAGAAATTTGCAGTCAACCCAGAGAGACAGACCAGTGTGGCTGGACATCCTCTGAAAGCAGGATCAGCCAGGATCCTCCCTTCACCAGGGAGGTTTCTCCACCTGAAATGCAAGAAAGTCACACCTCTTGTGACATTAACTTACCCTGCCCATCTTAGAGGCCTGTCTCCTGACACTCAGCAATCAGTCGGTCAAATGGTACCTGGTAAATTCAAAACAAATCCAACCCAAGAGTCATAGCCAGGCCTTCCTTCCCAACTTCCACTTTCCATGATGATTTTCTGCCTGAATACATATAAAAGGAACCGAATGGGAATTCAAATTCTGTGACAACTCATTATAGTTTTTTCTGCTTCAGTAACCTTATTGATTACAGAAAAGGCTGATTGAACGTATGCTTCATATTTTTTTCCCCAAACACTTTCAATAAATCCCCTTTATGTGCCGCAACAAATAAATAAATAAATAAGTAAAGTGTGTCTTCCTGACAGCTGGCTGTAGAGTAAACTTAGAGCACCTGCTTTTCTCTCTTTTGTTCATTTTTTTACTGCTAAATGAATAACACTTAACACTAAATAAAGAAGGAGGGTGACCATGGCTACTGAAAAAGATTCAAAGGCAGTCTGTGCGTTGCTTGTAAAGAACTGATTGCAAACATGTAGTCTACGGCAGATAACAATATTCCTGCACAATAATCTAGCAGTAATTCACATTGTGGTTTAAGTGCCAGATTCTCGTGAAAGCCACTAAATAATCTAAGGCGACTCTACTCTGTCAGGTGCCACACATTTCTTTGGCAAATTTAACTGATAACACGTTCAAAGGTGCTGGTAGGACAGTCAGCGTCCTTGAAAGCTGGCAGAAGGGGACACAAGCAACTTTACCTTATTTTGGCCTCGTCTGTAGGAGGGTTTTGGGGGAAAAAAAAAAAAAACACCAACCTTCTTGAGGTCTTGATTATTTTGTTTGTAAATAACCATCTGCTCCTTTCTGATCAAGAGCCAGCATAGTAAGGTATGACCCCAGGGAAAGCTGTGATTGATACTCCGCCACCTCTGTTAGCGGGGGTGCCGCACAAAAGATAGCGTGAGGCTCACCAGTGGCCCATGATGAAAAAGAATACACTTTCTTTAAAAATGGAAATGATCTGATGTTATAAAGGGATGCAGGTGGCATAGGGGAAAAGCCCAGCCATCAAACACCTCTTTTCTGTCATACCTAGCTACCCTCCCCTCTCCCACTCGTTTGCTGGTCCAGCTGCTGGTCTCCAGCTCCGGAGAGGGAGGCTGCGCCGCCGGGGCCGGGCATGGCATCACCCCGCCGGTCCCCCGCAGTCACCTCTTTGTCACCGGCTCACCATCGACCTTGGGCAAGTCCCCTAAGCTCTTTGTGCGTCAGTTTATCTACTGGTGAACTAGATATAATACCTTTACTGAGGATTATGGCAATTAAATGCTGTTTGTAAAGCACGCCGGGTCCCTCCGTGCTTCCGAAATGAATATTCTGGCTCTGGGTTTGCTGTGCTGATGGATTGCAGCTCACCCCTGAGAGCAGCTCCCAAGTTTCCGCTCCGTCTTCCTCTTCTCCAAGGACTTTGGGGACCTGTCCGGAGAAGCAGAAACACTTAAGAGATCAAGAAGGGGTTTTTTTAGAGAACAAAATGGTTTTGGTTGCTGTTGTTCTGTCATTTGTGGCAGTCCTTGTGAATGCTCTGTTTAAAAAAAAAATAAAAAAAAAAATCAGCTGCTAAGAAGTGTTTCTGACTATTCAACATTTGAAAAATCAGCTGCTGAGAATTGTTTCTGACTATTAAGTGTTTGCATCCTTCTCTTCAACCCAGTATTCACAGTATTACCGGGCAGAAACTAATGGGGAAACTGTTCAATGAATTTAAGAAAAAAAAAACAAAAAAACAAACAACAGAGGTGGGGGGAAATAGGTTATAAAACCCTCTGGTGTCTGGTGGATTTTTTCACTTAGGTATTTCAGCCTAATGTGCTTTTAGTGGAAAGTTTCCAAAACGTACAACCAGGAAAAAAAAAAAGAAAAAAAAAAAGAAAAAAAAAAAAGAGAGGGGGGAAAAATTCCCAAGCAAAATAACTAGAGGTAAATTCAGTGTTTTTCCACTCCGGTGCCCACAACCTTTGCTTTTATTCTGGTGCAAACAGCTGCAGGTGCCTCAAGTCAGCCAGTTCTATCTATCTGCAATGTCATCCATGTTTACTTGCAGCACTGGACTTTCGATTCTGTCAGGGTGCCAATCCAACGGGCCGCCAGGCACTGCAGCTGACAGTCAAATCTGTAATGCTGAATCCTTCTTCTGGAAAAAAGGGCTAAAGAGGTTAATACACTCAAGTAAGGATAAACACACCAGCTGTTAGAGTTTCTAATATTTAATGTCATTATCAAATAAAATAACTCCTAAGAAATAAAAAATATGCAGCCTCCAAATCACTCGTCTTTGTTAGTATTAATAAATTATCTGAAAAGCCTACACTATAAAATAATAATAGAGAGCCTACAATTAAAGTCATATTTACTCTTCTCCTCTGCTGATGTTGCTCTGCGCTGATACCATTACCTTTTGGTGTTCAATACTGGATCATGCACTGCACAGTATCTATAGGATAATCAGGGATGAATTATTGGAATGAAAATAAAAACATTTTAACTGCTTTTTTTTTTTTTCCCCAAAGGGCTTGTTGAAATATATTATCTGCCTGATTTACTGAATGTAATTATTTAAAGATTTCATTATTCTTGGTCTTTTTCTTTTACAAAAATCTGCTTAGGATCATAAGAATAATGAGCCCTGCAACGCTGAGAGTGATTTTGTGTTTGTGTGTGAAATCTCAAAGGATGCCCTCCAGAACTCATTGCTGGGGCTAAATACTTTTTAGAGAGTCAGGAAGTGAATATATGTTTTCCTCCTGTCATTATGGCCATAGCTTCTACTGCTGTTCCCCAGTGCGGATTGAACAGAGGATAACTTGAACACATTCAGAAAGGTTGAGAAATACACACAAACACACGATGGAAGAGGCTTCACAGCCTGCAAAACAGCCTGCAATGAGCTCGGCTTCCAGTTTATGATCTATATTATAGCAAGACACACTCACTGCCTTGTACTTAAACGTCTATGACCAATTCTGTAAAAACCCTTGAATTTTAGGATTTAGCAGCCAACCGTTTCAAATTGCATCAGACTAAAGCTTGTCAATCCAGTTAGGCTTCCTTTTTGGTTTTACAAGATTTGATCGAAATTTGTCTCTCCGGTTATTGCTTAACTGTGGGCAAAGGCAGGGAGTTGGTGGGGACTTTGGGGCATGACTTTGTCAGCAAAGGCAGCGCTGCCGCTCCAAGCGGGATCGCCGCTCCCACCAGCCACTCCGAGGCACAAAAGGAGGTATTTACCCTTGTTGTGTACCTCTCCAAATCCATCTTCAGGGTGACTAATGGTGTTCTTTTGCTGGCCTTCCCCACACAGGAGCGTTTATTTCCTCCAATGTATTTCTTTAAAAAAAAAAAAGAATAGATTATTAAAAAAAAAAAAAAAGATTTTATTTTCCTACAAGTGTAATACCAGGTGTAAGGTAGAGCAGGCTGAATCACAGAAATCCCTTCCCCTAAAAAAATGGTCATTTTTAAATCATCCCTCTCTCTTCTCCTCTCAAATTGTGAGATTCTAAATTTTGTTTTTAAACTTAATTTTTTTTTTTCCCTGGGAAATGCTCTCCAGAAAAAAAAAAAAACAAACCACAAAAACCACACAACAAAAATCTTTCAGTGGAAGCAAACTGGAATTTCTTGGGGCTTGCCAGCTGCCTGCTGAAAAGGGAGAGCGGCAGGAGCCTTGTCGGCAGGCTGCTGCAGGCTGGCCACCCCGCGCCTGCCTCTCCTCCTCCTCCTCCTCCTCCTCGCCTTCCCCCTAGCCTGGCTGCTGGGGAGGCAGCTGGGCTGCAGGGCCGGCAGAGCGCCAGGGCACTCAACCTCCCCTCCTCCCTCTTCCAGACCTGCTGCATCTCCCCAGCTGCCTGCCTGGAAGACTATTGTCAATTTTGCTCTCTCCCTGCAGACGACAACAAAATCGACAGGGGCCTTCCAGCCAAGCAGCCATGGAGCCATCGGTTTGATTTTTGCTAATAGAAAAATCAGAAATTTCTGGCAAAATTGAAATTTTCCCATAAAAGAAATCCCAATTTTATAAAAGGCATATTTTTCCCCTCAGAAAGTCATTCCAACAGAACATTCCCAGCTGCTGTAGTTTGAGAGACCTTTGAATTAAAGTCTATAGAAAAAAACTGCTCATGTGCTTGGCTGTGAAATAAGGGCGGGTGAATGGAGTCAAATGCAAATAGAACCTGCCCGAGAACCAACGTGCAGGGTCCCACCATCTAAGGATCAGACCCAGGGTGTTTTTGTGACCTTAAAGGAGCTATAGGGGATCGTAGCTTTACTATACAGTAGTAGAGATGATAATTAAGACTTACATAGCAAGGTTATGTCTCTTTTGAATAATTTACACAGGTCTGAACTCTCGTGAGAATAATTCCCAGCTCACAATTACCACCAAACTGGTTCAGAAAAGCATTCAAGCTTTTGTGGCCTCATCAAAATAGAAACCTTTTCAGCAGCGGCACATCAGACACTGCGAGAGAGAGGGGAAAAAAATGAAATTTCACCCAGAGTAGTTCTACAAAGTCACCTTTGTCTCCGTTTTATCTGCGTGCTGTTGGGGGCGATTCTCTCGGTGGTAAGTGATCCGCTGCTCCTGCCGGTGTCATCCACATCCATGGATTTCGGGAGAGAGAGGCCCCGGTGCCAGCAGTGTCGAGGAGCCTCAACGCATGACCTGAGCACAGCTTTCAAGGGGATGTGAGGTGAGAAGGTGCAGGCAGTCACCACCAGCATCCCGTGCAGGTTTCCCTCTGTGCCTCTCCAAGTCTATGCTGAACACAGAATCACAGAATTATCTAGGCTGGAAGAGACCCTCGGGATCATCGAGTCCAGCCATCCACCCTACTCTGAAGTATTCCCCTACACCATATCCCCCGACACCACATCTAAACGGTTCTTAAACACAGCCAGGGATGGTGACTCAACCACCTCCCTGGGCAGCCTATTCCAATGCCCCACCACTCCCTCTGTGAAGAATTGTTTCCTAATGTCCAGTTTAAACCTACCCTGGCACAACTTGAAGCCATTACCCCTTGTCCCATCATCTGTAACTTGGCTCCAGACCCCTCACAAGCTCCGTTGCCCTTCTCTGGACCCATCGCCCTTCCTTCCCGCCCCAGGATCTGAACAACCCCAGCTCCCTCAGCCTCTCCTCATAAGGCTTACTCTCCAGACCCCTCACAAGCTTTGTTGCCCTTCTCTGGACCCATCACCCTTCCTTCCAGCCCCAGGACGGGAGATCTGACTTGGACACCCTTCCCCTTCTGTGGATTTCCCCTAGCAAGGATTCCTCGGTTGGGTCAAACACCAGGTCCTGTTTTCCACAAGGAGCAGGGAGACACGTGCCTGAGGAACCAGGCTGTTAGTGCCTGAATAGGACTGCAGAAGCAATTTTGAAAATATTTCCTTGTGGTCTGACACTACCTTTCTCCCAGCGACCTTGTAACCACAGCGAGGAGCA